TTTATATAAATTATGCGTAACAATCTATATACACTGTAAAACCATTGTTAAAATTCACACTAAGTTGCTAGTGCAAGCAGTGGTGTACAAAAGTGCAAACAAGGTTAGTGATGAAAAACTTATCACCAACTTACCACTTCAACACACTCTCCATTCAGCCAAATACTGAAGGCCTCGCTGTGGAAAACACTTCGCTCACTTATAAAGTCACGTGACTTACATTCACCGAGTGCTCTCGCCTCCGTATGGCAACTGCTTGAGTTCAGGTTGGGAGCAGCACCAGGGAACAGAACCCCGTGTAAAGTTGGCCATTCTGATGTAAATTCTTACACTTGATCATGAAAACAATTCCAAAGACAACTTGTATGTCAAAAACTGGAGAACTGTCACCCCCTCTTCACTCCCAAATTTTTAAAACTAAAATTAAACCTAAGCTCTCTTCCCCTATTTGAAATGCATGCTGAAGAATTCATCCATTCCAGTGCAGCTTTTCCAAAAAATAATTCTGCATGAAATCACTCAAAAGCCTTTCCAGTTTCTGCCCTAAAATCGATCTGAGGCAGGGGCACTCTGAAACAAAGTTGACTTTAAATAAGTTCGCTTACTTGACTTTGATTACTTTGGATTCTATTTAAAAGTGTGGTCAAAGCCCCAAACATCAACAGTCAGTGTATTACATATATTAGCTACTTTATGTTCTAAATTATGAGGACAAAAATGAGTTGGTTCAGAATTTTACCTTCAGTAGACCTGATTCCCTTCATACTCAGGGAACTTTTTGTCCAGGGGTGGGGTGGGGTGTGTGAGGGGGATGCCTGTAGGGTTCAGGAGTGAAAACTTGGTTTTAACAAAATCCCAGTTGCTTTACAGAGAGGCACAGTCCCGCATTCCAAGAGCTTGTTCTTTTTTTTTTTTTCCATTTCTTTTTTTACAAAGCACTAATCTGTATTTCAAAAGGACAATGATGGAAATGACCAGAAGCACCAACATGTAGTTTTGAGAATTTAGTCCTTAACTGAAGATATAGTTTTCTGAACTCTTATATTTATAGCATAAATATGAAAGGTTTATAGAAAACCCTTAATTCCCTATTAATTTTATATTAAGGAATTTGTATTTGCTAATCTCTAATTTTTCATGCTTTCTTGGAGATTTTTCATCTACTTTTACATACCGTATTTGCCGGCGTATAAGACGACTCGGCGTATAAGACGACCCCCTAACATTTCCACTCAAAATACAGTTTGTTATATGGTCGGCTGTGTGCGATTTTGCGAGTGTGGTAAAATCGCATAACAGCAAAATCGCATAACAGCCGAGCATACACCCAGCAGCGCTGCTGATGCCTGAACGGTATGTGGAATGAAGTGGGCGGGCATCGGGAGGCCACTATGGCACGGGGCAAGCACTATGGGCAGTCTATCTGAAGTGTACCTGGCGTATAAGACGACCCCCCACTTGGAGGCATATTTTTCAGCGCCAAAAAATCGTCTTATACGCCGGCAAATACGGTATGTTTTAAATGATTCAAATATACTCTAAATAAAATGAACACAAGGTATCTTGAGAGATTTCCCATTATATTAGGTACTTCTCAGTGTACTATGGTCAAATTTATTTGGCAATAAATTCTTGCAAACTTCAGTCATATAAGTGACTAACAAGACTAAAATGTCAGGTTGAATCAAATATTGAATACAGTTTAGAAAATGTGAACCTTCTGAAACTCTCAGATCATGTGAACTAGAAGTATAGTGATTTTAAATTACAGAACTTGTGAAAATGCTGGGTTTTGAATGTGGTTGATAAAATCATGTTTCAGAAGGCAAGAAGCTATTATCACAGCCATCACACTATTTTAATAATTTACAAGTAGTTTACTGGAAAGCACTATAGAGAAGAGTGAGCCAGCTGAAAACTAAGGAAAAGAAACAAAGTTCTGCTTATATGCTGTAAACCACAGTAAATTTGCACATGTACACAGGCACACAAAACTAAAATTTAGATCTATGCAGGCAATATCTGAATTCATACATCTTTGGCACTCAAAGATACTGGGTTAACTAAGCAATGGTGAAGAATATTTTTTCATTTACAGTAGTGCCTCCTTATCCGCAGTTTTAGTTACCTGTGGTCAACCACAGTCTGAAAATGTTAAATAGAAAATTCCAGAAATAAACAATTCCTAAGTTGTAAAGCGTGTACCATTCTGAGTAGCGTGATGAAATTTCCTGCTGTCCCGCTCCGTTCCACCCGGGACAGAAACCGTCCCTTTGTCCAGTGTATCCACATTGTATACACTATCTGCCTGTTAGTCAATTAGTAGCTGGCTCGACTGTGTAATGCAGTGCTTATGTTCAAGTCACCCTTATTTTACTTAATAATGGCCCTTTTTTCAAAGTGCAACAGTAATGATGCCAGCATTCAGATATGCCAAAGAGAAGCCGTAAAGTGCTTCCTTAAAGTGAGAAGCTATTATGTATAGGAAAAAACATAGTATATGTAGAGTTCAGTACTATCTGTAATTTCAGGCATTCACTGGGGGTCTTGGAACTTATCTCCTATAAGAAAGGAGTGCTGTGCTTTAGGAAATGTTTATGCCCCAATTTTTTATTTTTTATTTATTTATTTATTTTTTAGCTGAGCCATCCCGCCACCTGTTGGCAGCTCACGGCTGCTCAGCTCGGGCTGACTCGAACCACTGTTGCTCAGAGCTCAAACTCTTGAGCGAGCTCTTAACCAACTGAGCCACTCAGCCGGCCCCTTATGCCCCAATTTTTTAAAATGCTATACTCTCCATTCTAAAAATTCACTGAGATAAACTAGAATCAATTTTGAACTAGTTACCCAAAAGTATAATTAACATCAGTCATTGAAACAGGTGGGCTAAGAATCTCTTTAGAAATATAAAAGTGGGCTAAGATTTTGTATATTTAGAGTTTGGGATTTAAGATTTTAAAACATCTTTTGGACAGTGCCTGATTTATATGAAATCCAATGTTAATCTGTATAGAACAGAATTAACAGCTACAGTTTCACACTTTACAGTGGGAGCTACAAAATTAATCTATATCCCCAATACGACCATTTACCCTCATAATACTCCACAAGTGCACACTCACACAGGCACATCGGGCATATGCTTTTCCCACATCTTCTGTTTCTTGTTGGTCTCGAGGGTCTCAGTGTGTGCTCTGCTGAGCTCTGAGCTAGAAGGTAAACCCAGCGGCTGGGGAACTCTGCAGGCCCACCTCTCTGGGGCTGGGAGGAGAGCCGGCTGCTCCTAAGTGCAGTTTCTTTTCTAGAGGTCCAGACAACATGAACCTTATGTCATTGGGAAAATAGCCACAGTTTAGATATGGTCCACAAAGTGACTTTGTTTCTTTGATCCCAGTGTGAGAACTAGAATGAGAATTCTGGAGCAACATATTTTGCACCAAAAAGCATTTTTCCCCCTCTAGAGAAACCAGTAAGCTTTTTCCTTTATACTAATTTATGAGACAAATAATTAACTTCTCAAATATCACAACAGGTACCAGGAAATACTTGAAGAAAGGCCTGTCCCTGTAGGTCCTGAAGACAGTTACCATCAATAAGAGGCAGTTACTTTTAATAAGGCTTCGTTCTGTTTATCAGGACAAGAGAAGTGAGTACTTTAAACATAGCTGGCAAAATAAACCAACAGGCTGAAATGTCATTCCCTACTTTTCCCATGCTGTTATTGATGTTCCTAAGCAGGGAAGAAGCTCTTTTATTTTCGTGTAAAGGAAGCTGCAAATGAAATAGAATAGTCAAATTACTAAAACCAAATGTGTTAAGAAAGGACGTTGTTGGCTTAGCTAACTGGCAATTCCTTCCAGCCACATTCCTCAATCCTTATCTGCTTCATGTGATATTACTAATGACAGAAAGGACTATAGTAACTCTGATTTGGACAACAACTAAAGAAAACACTAATTTTCATATTAAAATTATTCTTGATGCAATTGGAGCAATCTATTCTCAATGAAGTTAGTTAAATATACTATAAAATCTTGGTTTATAACCAAGAGAGAAATCTTAAGCTTGAGAGTCTTTAAAAATACATATTTGGCACTTTCATCTTATTTTTACTAACTATGGGAATCTTAAACACATGGAAAAAAACACCTCAATTTCTTAGGAAATTAAAATGCTTTAAAAAGCTAACCAAAAATTTTTTAAGTCTATCAGTGAGGCTTGCAGACCCTGTCTCATGGCAAGTATTATGTCTAAAAATAAAAGCCTTTGTAGTGTAAAGTAAGAGCTAGCTGAGAGGAACTAAGAAAAAAGAAAACGAAACACAAGCATTCATTTTCTTTCTACCAAGAAGTAACATATGACAAAGAATGCAGGAGCTATTGGACAGGAGCAAAATCCCCACACATCTCACGGGCTGCAGCGGAACAGGATTTTTCCTCAGATATGCAGGCCTCTGCAATGAAACTGTGCACAAGATCCTACTTGTCACTCGCCCTGGGAAGTACCATTAATTATAAAGAGACTGGGAGTACCTCTAAATGTGGGGTGACTGGTGCCTGTCACCTACGTTTGGTGAAGAGGCTTAGGTTACCAAACCAGGCACCAAAGAGATGGGCTGCCCTTCAGAATTAGATAAGTGGAATTGAACTATAGGGGCCCATCAAACCAAAGATCAACCTCGTGTTGACCCAGATGTGCTTTTCTTCAGAAAGCCGATCCCACAAGGACTAGGATATGGACCCGATCGGCACTGGTAGTGTTACTGGTAAAAATACACATGATTCAGAGACAAACATGGTATAAGGTACAACCAAGCTCAACTTGTCTCCTGGTAAATGCAAAAGCCTCCAGGGGACTTTTATATTATTCTAAATATTCCGAAGCAACCTCCTTTCCCAATAACCACCTCATATGTATAATATTAAACAATCTAAATTTCAGAGCGTACTGAGCATACTAGCTAGATAAGACACATTAAAATGAAACATTTGCCCGACGAAGATGCCAAACATGAGGGTTTGTTTTATTGCATGACGTTTGCATAAGAAAAATTATTGAAAACTGTAAGGCATCATGCAATCATCGATAAGCTAATTATTAACTGTACACTTAAGATAGGTGGACATATAATCTAAAATTTAAAAACTAGTTCCAAAAAGGTACATAAAAATTTAACATGATGAGCTTTTAATTATGGTTTATATTTGTAGGTTCATGTTGTTAAAAAGTGCTTCAAATGCGCTGCTGGAAAGTTGTTGCTCTTTATAAATGGCGCTGGGGGTAATGTCAGATTATAAACTGTAAAAACTAATTATCTTTATGGAATTAGAAAGCTAACATTGTGATAGTCAAACTTACTTGAATCAGTTTTCAATTCTCACTCAGATTAAGTTGATATAATAATATTAATAATCTAAAAAACCTCTGTTTTCTAGCCAACAAAAGTCTATTGAATTCAAGTTATGCATGTTCAGCAATCAAATCTCTGAGTAGGCCTGAATGGCGAGACCTGGGCCCGATGCAGGCTGGTGTTAGTCGATGTACTGTGCCATCCAGCGGAAGCCTTCTCCGTAACCTTGCCTTTTGAGCACACTGCACATGAAAACTTCTAAGGGCCGGGTGTTCAATTCTTTCAGAGCTACACTGCCCTAGAAGAGAAGACAGATATTATGTTGGGTGATACCTTGATGAAATAAGAGCTCCATCCCCAGTAGAACTGTAGCTTTTATACGACCTAGAACAAAAGGTGACTGAGATAAAGCTATGGCTGTTTGGCGTCCGAGTCCCCTAAACACACAGGAAGCCTCCTTCTATCACTCTACTTTAGGACAGAACAGGAAAGAGGCGGGCTTGTGAGGCACACAGAATGAAAACAATCTCTAGCTTAGACAATCATTACCCGAACTGGCTTCACAAATGTTAAGAACGAGCATTCTGAGTAGGTTTATGACTAAACAAGGCGTTTCCTAAAATATGGAATTGAGTTATTAAAACGAAGACTCAAAAACAGACCACAGTCTACCTTTGTCCATAGGCTGCAGTATCTCTATACTGAGAGAATATATGTAAACCAAGGAAATTTTGTTTGTAGGACAATGGGATTTTTCAATACTAAGGTACCTCTCCCAAACAAACCCTAGTAGAAATGAAGGCAAAAATAATGCATCTTAAAACTTACTATTAAGTATATGTTCAGAAAACTCCAAAACACTCCTATGCCCAAGTTGACATTTTATTTTTATCTCTGGTGAAGTCAGGGCCTAAATATTGAACTGAGGGTTAAATACACTACTGATATGTTTAAATATTCAAGTATGTTATTTGGAGGCTAATTCTGAAAATTTATGATCAATAAAACTTTGAAATTTTTCATTTAGTTTTCCATAAGCATGAGATTTGACATTTTTGTCATCACCATGAAAAGGTCTCCTTCAGTGGTAGAAAGAACACCGGTGAGGATATTAAAAATGACTCAAATGTATAAATGACAGTCCTTTTTAAATTTGACTATAGGTGGTATACAATATGATATTAATTATATTAGTTTTAGGTGTACAACATAGTGATTTGACAATAATGTGATTCCCCCCACTAATTCTACTAAACATCTGTTACCATGCAAAGTTATCACAATATTATTGACTATATTCCCCTTCTGCTTTGTCACTCATCCCCCACGTCCTCCCTGCTCCCCTGTGGCAACCATCACCTTGGTCTGTTTTATGTGTCTGGTTTTTTTTGTTTGTTCATTTGGTTTTTTTTAGGTTGCATATAGTATTTGTCTTTCTCTGTCTGACTTATTTCACTTAACATAATACCCTCTAAGTTCATTCATGTTGTCGCAAATGACAAGATTTCATTTTTTTATTACTGCGTGTGTGTGCGTATGCGTGTGTGTGTGTATGTATGTATCTCACATCTTCTTTATCCAATCGTCTATCAATGGGACACCTAGGTTGCTTCCATATCTTGGTTATTATAAGTAATGCTGCAGTGAACATAGGGGTGCATATACAGAGGGTGCCAAATGTATACACATTTTAAGAAAGGAAAAAACTGTTATTAAAACTGTAATACAATGAATGATGCTAGCATTCGATGAACGCCATCTTTTGAGCAAATGTCATAATACACATTGCTACGTAATTCAATTCTACTTTGAAAAGTAATACATAGATAACATCTCTTAAAATGTGTGTGTGTGTGTGTGTATATATATATTTGGCACCCCTGATATTTTTTCAAATTAGTGTTTTCATTTTCTTCCAATAAATACCTAGAAGTGGAATTGCTAGGTCATAAATTTGATCTATTTTTAGTTTTTGAGGAATCTCCACACTGTTGTCCACAGTGGCTGCACCAGTTTGCAGTCCCACCCACAGTGCACAGGGTTTCCTTTTCTCCACATCCTCACTGACATGTTACTTGTTGACTTTTTGATAATAGCCATTCTGACTGGTGTGGTTTTGATTTGTATTTCCCTGATAATTAGTGATACTGAGTAAATGATAGTTTTTAACAACAAAAGAGATAATGGACTTGATAATAGTAATTTTAAGACATTTCATTGTACACATCAAACTAATATAATGTTATATGTGAATTATAACTCAATTTTAAAAAGCTAGACTGTTCCAATTGGACTAATATGCATGAGAACTGTTAGGGGTATAAACTATTTCAGAAGATAAAAATAAATAAATAAAAGACATGTATACTGTTGAATGAAATAGTCACACTTGTCAGTTTTTTTTCCTTTTACCTTTCCTGTTGTCTGACTATATAAACCAAACAACTCCCGTAACCTCTCTTCACTGATGGCTTCGGGTCTGTCGATCTTATTCCCAAGAATCAGTATAGGCACATTAGCAATGGTTTCATCGGTCATTAGTGACTGAAAAGAAAAAAAGAAAAAAAAAAGACATGGTGTGGATATGAAACCATCTGAAGGGCTTATTTTGACAAGATGCCAAATGTATATCAATGACTCATTCTCTATCATAACATGTCAGTTTTGCCGACTTTCTCTGGCAAACCTTTCCTAGATTTTAAGTGACTACAATGAACCCATCAGCCCAGTTCTTGTGTCTCCCTAAGGCTCCTTCTGTAGGTGCTCCCTCTGCTCCGTCAGCGAGGTAGTGACCAGAGCCAACGCCTTGAAAACGGGCAGACCTGCTTTCAGTTCGAGTTCTGCTGCTTTTGACTTGTGAGATCTTAGACAAATAAGCCTCACTGAAGTTCAAAGGGAATTTGGAACAGTAGCACCTACCTCATGGAGTTGATCTGAGAATTTAATGAGGTAATGTGCACAGCATGTGGCATAAAGTAGGATCAGGAATTTCCTGACCCTGTTCCACGACCACAGAACCTACCTGGACGTTTTCATATGAACAGGTATTTGTTTGCCTGCCCTGGGCAGAGGCATGGTCAGGCCAACCTTCAGTCACATCATGGACCTGCTCTCTCTGTGGCCCCCGATTTGGCTTTGCCTACGGCGCCTGAGCCCCTTTATGAAGCATCTGATCTGGGGGAGGGGACAGCGGGTAAGCTACACATGGTCCTGCTCACTCCTTGGAGTGGTGACAAAGACAACATATTATACCATTTCCAGGCTCTGGCCAACTCAAGAAACTGGCATCCTAGGATGCCCAGGGACTCAAGACCAAGTCACTCCAGGAATAGGGCAGACATAAAATATACTACAAGGGCATGCTGCACAGAGTGACTGAAGTCTTCAGGAAGTGTTAGTACTTCCTCAATAGCTACTCCTTCTGCATCCTAAGTAATCACTGAGCTCCACAAGTTGCCTGGAGTTACATCAGAGACTGTAGAAAAGCAGCACTCTGATACCTACATCTCCAACTTATTTCCTCAGCTTACCAGAGTGATACAACCATGTTTAGTTTGAATTATTTAACTTACATCAAGTTCTTCTTTTGATTCCAACAGTCTTTCATGGTCTGCACAATCCACCAGAAATACAATGCCATTGATAGCAGGAAGGTAGTTTTTCCAAACTCTTCGAGCTGACAAAAACAATTAGGAGTTAGATTTCATTTGCTGGTCAAACCTAGCAGATTGCTGATGAAAACATAAGATATCAGTTATCCCATAGCTGCAGCTCTTTCACTACATAGTCAATCTTTTCCCATGTCGCCAAAATCTTTCCAGAAGAAATTTCAGGCTTTCCTTGATTGGGGGCAAGTCAAATACTTTACTTTGCCCCAATTTTCCCATGTTAGATGTAGAATTAATGTCTGCTACCAGTAGACAATGATGCACATTAAGTTCATTGGAGAACCACTAATATTTTTATATGCAGTATTCATTTTCTGGTAGAAGGAAATTACTATCAGGTACAGACTTGTTAGGTTAAAATAATAAAAGCAAACTGTTCTACTCATAACAGAAATTAACTAAAGTCTTTGAAACCATTAGGGTAATTTTTCCCATGACACTTTTTTTAGAGGCGAAACACTTTTGGGGATACCCCAGAGGAAAATATTTTTTTTCTCTGACTTCAGTTTTATGACCTATCTTAAAAATAATAAAGAAATTAAGTCTCATATAAGCTCCATTAGGTTCTAATTCTCTCTAATCATTACATTCCAAAAATTACGTATATTTCAAACAATTATTACGTATCTTTCAAAAGTGCTTTCACTAGCCCCAACCACTTAAAATCTGTTCCACTGTTTATCATATAAGATTTATAGAATGCCCACCAACTTTGTACTACTTATTTATGAATTACTATGTGCTGGGTACTGCCAAGTCCTGTTGGGGATATAAAAAATGAACAGGATTTTAGTTCCAGAAAGTTCAGGAGAGGAGATAAGACAGTCTTTCCAAACTTGCAGACATGCACACAAATGCACTGAGTGCTGTGGAAGTATAGCTGAGAGCACGTCTAGCTGGGAGCAACTCTTAGGGAAGGCAGCAGCACTTACACTGGGGCCTGAAGGTGGGTCATTCATGTGCAGGTGGGGATGACATGAGCAAAAGCACAGACGTGGCAGAACACCAAGAGGGTTTGGTTTGGTTCAAGTAAAGAAAATGGGAGGGGAATAGTGGGAAATAACTCTTGAAAAGTAAATTGGAATTTGATCATAGAAATCCCAAATGCCATGGCAAAGGGTTTGGCCTTTAATTTGTAGGAATGAGTTAGCCGCTGAAGGTTTTTCATACAGAGCAGTAACATATTCATAACATGATTATGATAATACGTGAGAGGTGGACTGAAGCAGAGAGAGAACGGAGGCTCCATTTTGCTCATATGCTTTACCACCAAAAACAATCCAGACTTAAATTGACCAGGAGTATCATAAAAATCACGCTTTGCTTTTAAAGCATTTATATGGGGGCAATAACTTCTAAATTTTAAGTCTACTCTGGCCTTCCTTGAGTAGAATGAGATTTCATTTGCTGGAACAAAATGGTCAAATTTTCATTAAGTTAAAACAAAGCTACTATAAGAGTAATAGAATCTTACCTTGAACATGTCCACCCAGATCAAAAGTTGTAAAGGTCATGCCAGCAATGGTTAGTTCTTCTGAGGCTAAATAATAATAAAAAATATCTTTACAACATGAAAATCAGAAATCCATCCATGGTAAATATTGCTACTTAATATTTTAAGTTTGATTTAATTGTTTGATTTAACTGTAAAGAAGGTCAAATCAAAATAATTCTTTGATGTAATTAGATATACTCCAATTCATACTGATACTAGAACCCATGTAATGGTAATATTCAATTCTAGTATTCACTACCCACCACAATCCAACACTTATTTATTTTTCCCTCCCTATTTCTCGTTTGTTTGTTTTTAGCTGGGCCATCCTGCCACCTGTTGGCAGCTCAGCAGAGCTCAGCTCAGGCGGGGCATCAAACCGCTGTTGCTCAGAGCTCGCACTCTTGAGCGAGCTCTTAACCAACTGAGCCACTCGGCCGGCCTCTTGTCTAAATATATTAACGTTTTTCAGCAAGAGAAATAGGAAGGGGCCGACCAAGTGGCTCAGTTGGTTAAGAGCTTGCTCAAGAGTTTGAGCTCTGAGCAACAGGGTCGCGGGTTCGATTCACAGCCCGAGCTGAGCTGCTGCTGAGCTACCAACAGGTGGCAGGATGGCTCAGCTAAAAAAACACAAAAATTTATATATATATATATTTTTTGTTTGTTTGTTTTGTTTTTGTTTTTTAGACAATTTGTTGTGAATTCAAGAGACTTTCAACTGAATAATTTTCCTGCAAGTCACCTTAAATGATATAGGTGAAATAAACAATTTTTTCTCATGTCTGTCATATTTCACAGGTGACAGTCTTTAATGACAAACACAATTATAATAAAAAATTCTGGCCATTATTTCTTCAAATATTTTTCCTGATCTCGACCTTCCCCTTCTGGGAGTTCAATTACAGGTTTGCTGGATGGCTTGATATTGTCCCACAAGTCACTGAGGCGCTCCTCATTTTTTTGTTTTTTTTTCAGTGATTTTTCTCTTTGCTTCATTTTATAATTTCTATTGCACTGACTTAAGTTCACTGGTCTTTCCTTCTGTAGTACTGGCACTATCTAATTTGCTGTTAATCCTATCTAGTGAAATTTTCATTTCAGATATTACATTTCTCTCCTCATTATGTTCATATTTTCCTTAAATCCTTGAGTATATTCATAACAGCTATTTTAATTTCCGTATCTGCTAATTCCATTATCTTTGCCACTTCTGGGTCTGTTTCTTCTGATTGGCTTTTCTCCGGTTATGGATTATACTTCCCTGCTTCTTTGTATGTCTAGTAATTTTTTGATTGGATGCTAGATTTTGTTGTATTCTTTTGAAGAAAGCTGGACTTTGTTCTCGCAGGCAGTTGAGTTGCTTTCAGATCAGCTGTTAAGTTTTGTTAGGGCAGAACTAAAGTAGCCTTTACTTTAAGGCTACTTTAACCCCATTACTAAGGTCTGATCCTTCTGGAGTCTCTACCGAATGCCCTGAGTGTTCAACCAGGTCTCTCCATCCTGGCTGATGGGAACATGAACTATTCCTGGTCCCATGTGAGCTCTTGGAACTATCTGGCTAACAGCTCTGCTATATTGTTCTTTCTCTAGAAACTGTTCTTTGACTGGCCATGTGGAGTTTTATCCCCTGCATGCAGAGATTGGTACTTAGCTATGAAAGTTTCTGGAGTTTTTTTCTCTGCAGAGCTCCCTTCTCTTTGGTACTCTTGTCAAGCAAATTTTAGTCACCTCAGCCTCCCCAAATTCTGGTCTCTGTCTCCTCAACTTGGAAAAACTACTGGGTTATACTTGGGTTTCCTTTCCCTGCACCATGGTCTGAAAATTATCTCTTGTAATAAAGCTTGAATAAAGAAGGATTTGTTAAGTCGCCAGCAACAGCATAGGCTGCAGCCCCGGCTGCAGTGGGTTGCCATGGGCTACCATGTGTAGCCAGCAGACAGCGTGAGCGGCCAGCAGCCGCAGTGAGCGGCCGTCCAGAAGCCGGCGACTGATCTGCCTCTTCCCCCAATTCCCCAGTGCTGTTCCCATCCCCCAATTCCCCAATGAAAATCTTAAAAAAAAAAAAAAAAGATAAAAAAAAAGAAGCGTTTGTTTTCCTTCTCTCAGGAATCAGAGTCATGTGCTAGCTTTTGTCCAATATTTTAACACAGTTGTAGTCTATATTTTTGTCCAGTTTTCTAGTTGTTTACAGTGGGAAGGCAATTCCAGACTCTATTACTCCTTCATGGCCAAAAGCAGAAGTACCCTACAATTACAATGAAAGGGTTAGCATAATTGTTAACTATTCAGAATAACAGCTAAGGCCTTAGAGAAGTTTATCTTGTTAAAAATTCTGTATATAGGATGCCAACTGAATAAATAATTAATATAATTTGTGTTCAAAGTATGTTCCTTTCCATAAGGAGAAGTTAATGTTTGGATGTGACTGGCAAACTACCTCTATGGTTACACTCCCTGCTTTGTTTAAGAAGCCCCAGTTTGACTGATTAAAATACAGAACACTATTAACATCCTGGGAAGTTTCCTCTTGCCCCATCCTGGACAATCCCCAGAAACAGCCACTGATGTGAATTCCATCATCACAGGTTAGTACTGACTGTTCCAGAATTTTATATAAAAGGTATCACACAGTATGTAATTTTTTTGTGACCTACTTCTTCCGTGAGTATAATATGCATCAGTACGTATCAATAGTTTATTTCTCTTTCTTGTTGAGTAGAATTCCATTGCTCACCCATTCTTTTTTTAATGAACATCTGAGCTATTTCCAGTTTTGGGCTATTACAAAAAAAGCTGGTATAGACATTACTGTACCAGGATTTTGATGAACACACGTTTTCAATTCTCTTAGATAAATATCTGGCAGTGGAATTGCCAGGTCACAGGATATACATATTTACTTTTTTCACATATGCTTTTTTCTTTTTTCTAAATTGGGGAACTGTGTTTTTCCAGGACCCATCAGCTCCAAGTCAAGTAGTTATTTCAATCTAGTTGTGGAGGGCGCACCTCAACGGCCCATGTGGGGATCGAACTAGCAACCTTGGTGTTATGAGCACTGTGCTCTAACCAACTGAGCTAACTGGCCGCCCCACACATATGCTTTTGATTAATTGAAAAATACAAGTTTAAAGGAATGTGAGCTGCAGGAAGCTTGAAATAGCATCTATTTTGTGCCAGTGCTTTCTCCTGGTACTTAGAACAATGTCTGACATAAAGTAGGTGCTCAATAAATACTTGTTGAATAAATAAAAGAGAGCAACATCAAAAAATTAAAAAATGACTTACACCTAATATAAGACCACTCTGTAGTCTCTTCCAATTCTGCTGTTTTTGCAGACAATTTAATATACTCAATTTCACCATGATCATTTTTTCTTTAACAGTACTGTTCTTGTATCACAATCTTATTTGCCAAGCCCCACTTTCTTCTCCTAATATAAAAAAAGATTTATCAATTTTATGAAATCTTCCTTTTCCTATTTCACTAACAGTTTTATAGATAAAATGGCACTTTGTTTTGTTCTTTCTCCTTCCTTGTTCTTGAAATATTTACTGAACTAAAAAACTATCATATTATCTACTTTTTTGATTTTATTCTTGATTTTTTATTTTATACTCATTATTAAAGCCATACTCATTATTTCATAATTAATCTGTGGATTAAGTTGTCTTTAAATTCTGTGTTTACTTGATTCATACTTTTTTTCAACAGTAAAAGTGAGGTCACAGTTGTTTATAAGTTAGAGACTTCTTTCTAATAATTTTGTCACTTTATCTTCACTTTCTCAAAAGGTACCTATTACATAACCTTATATACAGGATGGCACATATTAAGTGATTGACAGAATTATTATTAATGCCTTTCAGGTAGTCTTTCTTAAAGAAAGCACAGTCAATTATTTTCAATTGTTTTAAAGCTTCTGATAAGTGTAGCAATACATGCCCTGCTTTTTGGAATAATTTCATGGTTTTTATATTAGATATTGTTGAGGTTGTTAGGACGAGAAAAATAATTGGTTAACAACTTGAGAGTCACCAGTAAAATATAAAAGTATAATCTGTCAACTGAATAATGATTAAAATAGTAGTTTTAAAATCTGAAAGAATTTTAGTTTATGTAAATAAGGTAATGGTGACTATTTTTATAGCCTAAGCACTATCTGGCTGGCTAGACCTTAATTCTGTCATAATCCCTGAGGCAACAGCTTTTTAATTCCTCTAGCTGGAGAAGGGTGTACTAACTGATAAGAAGATATGAGTATTATTTCTAGAACTAAATATACTCCGTGGGAGTTGGGTCGCCTATTATTTACTATACTATTTTGAGAACAGGTCAAATCACCTCATCATACCTTATCCACCAAAAAAACACCCCCCAAAACAACGAAACTTCTGGTTAGAGCCTATGAGTTGGTATCACTTGATAAAGTAATGTTGTACGGAGAAATATACTTACTGGGGTGTAACGTTGGGACATGTTGTCCAAGTCTGTCATCTTTTAGCATGTGTAGCAATGTTGTCTTTCCTGCATTATCCAATCCAAGAAATACCAATTTACCAGATTTCTTATATAATCCTGCAGAGTAAGAGCTATGATTAGTCAAAGTGATATCTGACACAGATTTATCCAAATAAAATGACCTTCAATAAAACTACAATACTCAGTTTAGATATTTAGATACTTTTCCTAATTACTCTAGATTTTTGATAAACACCTATTAACCTTTTGAACTTTTAAGATTTTATAAACTGGCCTGAATAACCTGTTTTTAGTTTTGAAGAGCTATTTTAAATTATTATGATTTGGGAAATCAAATTATTATAAAACTAAACTTAAGGACTGGCCGAGTGGCTCAGTTGGTTAAGAGCTTGCTCGAGTTTGAGCTCTAAGCAACAGCAGTTTGATGCCCGGCCTGAGCTGAGCTGCCGTTGAGCTGCCAACAGGTGGCAGGATGGCTCAGCTAAAACAAACAAACAAAAACACTAAACTTGGCCCCTATCAATGAATGTGTGTGCATTACCTAAACTTATCTGCAATGTCAAAATGCCGATCCCCCTGACAATTTAGGGATAAATACCTGTGTCCTCTAAAAGAGAAATACTCATAAAATAGTTGACATCATGTATTTATGACGCTAAATCAAAATTACAGTGAGTTTTTTCAGTAAAGTTTAGTTTATTGTCAAATTTTCCTGTGAATAAGGTTAAACTATTCACAGGATTGCATTAAAGTAAGCAACAACAACAAAAAAACACGCATGTAAGTTTAGATGTACCAACCAAGCATTGATATTATAGATATAGTGATAAATAGAAGACAGCACTGACCAAACTATAGTAGACTGGCATTTATTGTAAAATTCCATAGCGAGCTTTATTATTTTCTTTAAAGATTATTTCAAAGAGAAGTTTTAGGTTTACAACAAAATTGAGAGGAAGGCACACAGATTTATGTACCCCCATACATAGGTAGCCTCCCTCATTATCGACATCACTCATCAAAATGGTATATTTTTAACCAAGGACGAACCTATATTGACACACTATAATCATCCAAAGTTTACCTAAGGGTTCATTCACCCTTGGTGTTGTACATTCTGTGTTTGGACAAAGGCATAATGACATATCCAGCATTATAATATCAAAGAGTATTTTTATTGCCCTAAAAATCTTCTGTGCTCTGCCTATTCATCCCACTCCACCTCCACTGATCTTGTTCTTGTCTCCATATTTTTGCCTTTTCTAGAATGTCATATAGTTGAGATCACACAGTATGTAGCCTTTTCAGATTGGCTTCTTTCACTTAGTAATATGCACTTAAGGTTCCTTCATGTCTTTTCATGTTTAATAGCTCATTTCTTTTCAGTGCTGAATAATATTCCACTGTCTGAATGTACCACAGTCTATCCATTCACCTACTAAAGGACGACTTCATTGCTTCCAAATTTGGGCAATTATAAATGAAGCTGCTATAAACATTTGTGCGTAGGTTTTGTGTGGACATAAGTTTTCAACTTTTGGAGTCACTTTTTTTTTAGCTGAGCCATCCTGCCACCTGTTGGCAGCTCAGTGGCAGCTCAGCTCGGGGTGGGGATCGAACCGCTGTTGCTCAGAGCTCAAACTCTTGAGCGAGCTCTTAACCAACAGAGCCACTTGGCAGGCCCCATAAGTTTTCAACTTTTGGGTAAATACCAAGGAGCATGATTGCTGGATTGTGTGTTAGGAGTATGTTTAGTTTTGTAAGAAACCACCAAACTGTCTTCCAAAGTGTCTGTGCCATTTTGCATTCCCACCAGCAAGGAATGAAAGTTCCTGTTGCTCCACATCCTCACCAGCATTTGATGTTGTCAGTATCTGGATTTCGAACATTCTAATAGGTGTGTGGTGGTACTGAAGTTTATTTTCCATGTGTTTGATTTTCTAAAACCCATAGAATTATATGAGGACATGGGTCATAGTAGCAGCTCGACAAATATTTACTCAATCAACAAATGAACTTTTAAAGACATTAGGCAATTATAGAGTCAGGCTACCCATTTTCTGATAAGTTCATGCAAAAATAACACTTAGCTCTTTACCCACATTTAAATTTAAAAAGTAAATTGTTTAAAGTTGTAATCTTTTTTTTTTTTTCCCCCTACTGAGCCATCCTGCCACCTGTTGGCAGCTCAGCAGCAGCTCAGCTCAGGCCAGGCATCAAACCGCTATTGCTCAGAGCTCAAACTCTTGAGCGAGCTCTTAACCAACTGAGCCACTCGGCTGGCCCTGAAGTCCTAATCTTTTGATTACCTACTGGACCAATAATTCTGATCCTATGGGGAAGACTATCTTCCGTATTTACTTGAGCTTGGATACTACATTAGTCCTTTATGAATTCCGACTAGGAGTTTCTTTAAACATTTCTATTTTTTAAAGTTTTCTACATAGATTGTTTCTAACCAATGCAATCCATTTTACCATCCTAACTTTAAATAGTAAAGGTGTATTAGGTAAGATCCCAAAAAGAAACATCTAGAATATTTGTTTCTAGATAGACTTCAATCTTTAAAGTGGGTTGCACTAAATTCTTACTTTGTGGTAGGCACTATTAAACACCAGTATATATTATTTCATTTAGTAGTATAACTCAAAATATGTCTTTGAAGTAGGCATTATAATCCTCCTTTTTACAGAGGGGAAACAAAGGCTTAGAGTTAACTTGCCTAAATGCTGAAGTCAGATCTGAGATTTGAACCCATGTCTGATCCCAGAGCTTTGGTTCACTTCCATTTGTGTACACTGCCTCCTAATGTTAGCCATTTCAACCTTCTTGTTCCTGAGTGTGATGCAATCTATTTTGTTATTTCAACATAATTCAGCATAGACTCATTGTTCTATAAACTGAGAAATAGATTCCAACCTGTTACAACCCCAAATCCCAGTTTGTACGAGGCACAGCAGTGTTTACTAGGAGATATCCTGGGTCCTGGCAATAGCCTCGCCATTATACTATCCCCTCACTTTGAACTAGCGTGAACAGCATTTTATTCTTGCAACCAGTTGATTCCTGATTAAGACAGAGTGACTGGCAAATTATGAATATTTTCATGTGTATTTCTGACCAGACGGTTGTAAATATGTGACAAAATACTTCATTCTAATAAAGCGATTTAAGAATTCTCTTGGAGGTAGTATAGAGAGATCTAATATTTGACCACTATAAAATAATTTGAGAAATTTTATTTTAAAAAAGAAAAAGAAAACACTTGGTTTTTAACAATTTGCAAACATTGAGGTTCAACTAAGAAATAATAGTGACAAAATTTGATCTTCTATTTTTATCCTTTCAATATATAGTAAACAAAATTTATACACTTTCCAAACAAAATTTATTTCCTTGCTTAAGATTATGTTTGTGGAGAAAGAAATATTTATAAAGGAGATACCATTGCCTAAGTGTGGCCAGTTTGAAACTATATTGACCACTCTGTAATTATATGAAAGCTTCTCTTTCTGCCAATTCACAAGATGATGATTACATGGAGACTAACCTTAGGACAAAATTTGAAAATAGAAGACCAGAAATATTTTCATGAATGATAATAATAATAAAGTTGTATATATCCCAATATAAAAGTTGTATATATCCCAATAAGTTAATCAAAAGGTTGTTTCACTTAAAAAAGGTGACAAGTCAGGCTGTCAATAAAAGAATGAGAAGCTAAGATTTTTCCTATCTTTAAAATCTATAAAGAAAGGAAGATCACTAGGCAGAATTGCTGGGTGAACAAGTCTCATTTAGCAGATTAAAAACTGCCATTTATGATACACCAGGCACTTTAGAGAACATGCATTTTTATAATAACAAAAATAATAAACTGGATTCCTGTGAAGATTAATGGAAATAAAGCATGTAAAGCCCTTAGGTCAGCGGTTCTCAACCTTCCTAATGCTGCGACCCCTTAATACAGTTCCTCATGTTGCGGTGACCCTCCAACCATAAAATTATTTTCGTTGCTACTCTATAACTGTAATTCTGCTACTGTTATGAATCGTAATGTAAATATCTTTTTGTTTTCCGATGGTCTTAGGCGACCCCTGTGAAAGGGT